TATATATGTGTGTGTGTGTGTGTAGTAGTAGTATATATATATATATATATATATATATGTGTGTGTGTGTGTGTGTGTGTGTGTGTGTGTGTGTATATATATATACTATTGAGTAGAATATCTATATTGAGTCAGTATACTGAATGATCCATCTTCGGAACAGCTTCACTGAAACGCTCAAAGCATTGGACGCGGCTGCGTCCATACAAGGTGTGCTACTGACGAGTGAATTTGCCCCAAAAGTGTTCTCGGCTGGACTGGACTTTAACGAAGTCGACAACGCCACACAGGAAGACTTCAAAGACTATTGGCTTATGTGTGAGAAGATGTGGAAGGCATGGTATGGGACACAGCACACCTGTGGCACACCCTTAGCGCAGCACGCACCGAAGCGAGTGGGTGGTACATACTAGTATTAGCCAAACCCTAGATCGCCTACAACCCCAAACATAAACATTCCAACATCTACTGCCACACCTAGAACTACTGCTAACGACGCGCATCCTACCTAACCGACTCCCCCCTACTATCAAAACCCCCACACCAGACCTTGCCCACAACATACAAAGATATCTTGAATCAAACACGAAACTCTTCGTCAAGGGAAGCACAAGCGAACCTATTTCAACCTAGCAAGCCACCCTCTATATGGGATTGCCAAGAAGATTGGGAACTCACAGCTCTATACTTTAGTTGCAACACACACGCACTAGACGATGGTACATTGCCTACTAACAAGCATCTATCCAAATGGCTGCGAAATTTCCACCTCCTGAAATATATTCCCATCCTTCACACATCATATCTATACAAAGACTGGAGTGCAGTGGAGCTAGTAGTACCTAAAGCAAAACAAACGCTCTTAGCCCGCGGTTGGCGAACTAACAAAGGTGCAGACCCCGCCAACATCACCAATTCAATCGCAATACAAGGCGCACGCAACCGATTAACAAATGCGCATGCAAGTGCATTAACACGAGAAAAATGCCCACCCCAATACCCCCGCTTATTGAAATATTTGCTGGATCGAGTACCAAACGATCCAACCGTGATTTAATGTTCAGTGCAAACACCCATTTGTGGTCGGTTTTGAGTGAAATGTTTGTGGCTTTGATGAGGGTAAGTAGTGTTCTGGTACGTGCTTGAGCGTATGTTACCTGATTGTTCTGGTGTTATATGATTCATTTGGTTTAGTTGAGTATAAAATTTAATTGATTTTTTTGCGGTCGGGAAATTTAATGAGAGTCGTTATACTCTGTGTCGCGGAAATTCATATCTCCTACTAGTACATGCAGTTTACAGTTGAGTGCCATTAATGTTTTGTATACATTGTTTCCTAGGTGTGGTGCTAGATAAACACAGGCTATAGTAATCATACGAAAGGTAAATGATACAAAGTATTGGCTTTGTGCATGTAGTTTAAAATCATTTTGAGCTATGTCTACTGATTAAGGCTACACCGTTGTTTCTGCCACCCCGGTGTGTACTATTAGATGGGGGTGAGGCATAGATAAGGTTGGTATTGCTTTCATTGCAAACTTCATTGAGGCGATCTGTATAGCCCCACGTTTCTACTAAACATAGCGCGTCACACTGACTGCACAATTTACGTAGTGCTCTGTATTTTTCTTGTGTGTTTTTCAGTGAGTTTAAGTTGACATAATACACGAGGGTGTCACTCATTGCGATTTCGTCTTACTAGTGGTTCGTTGTTGTATGAGTGCATCAAGTTCTTTTTCTGTTTCTTCATCAGATACTTGTGGGGATTTAAAATTCTCACCTAAGACTGACGTTATTTCGTCATCTGACATTTTAGTATAATTTATAAATTCCCCCCCTCCCCCTCGATTTTGGGGCCTAAATAAACCCTAAAACAAAGTAGCACAACCGAACCGCCTAAAACTAAATAAATACAATCAATTTGCAGGGAATCCGGAATTCCGAATTCCGAATTCTACTGACTTCGATGAAGGTTAGTGACATCATAAATTCATTTTTCAATGTGTGCCTTGACTGCTATCCTATGAGTACAGAGTCAGACTACAGAGTACACTGCACCTAAATGTTTTTAATAAAAAAACATTTCGGTGTCTAATATTCAGAAGACTATGTATGAAGCCTATTATTAATTGACTGTTGATTTGATTGATTCAATGATTTCGGAGGATCAGAATTGAAAAGAATTCAAACTTGTATCAGGATGCATAGATATATATATATTATAGAAAATTTCACACTAAACAAAACAAAAACAATTTTTTTTTGATAATCTTCGCCGAACGTATGGATTGTTAATAGAAGATAGAATAAACTGCAATAATTTACAGTTTATTCCGAGCTAAAATACTATGTAAAGTTCTCAAATATAATCATGGTATTTCTCTTGCCGTATATATATCGCAGGTGAGCATTCACAATGCTCATAAAATATATCTTCATGAAAATGAATTTCAATACGACTACGAAGTTATTAGCACTGACATGCGTGCTAGTGCGCGGACGTGCAGCAGAGTTTATTCCCGCAGACAGAGCTGATCCTCAACTTACCTGCACTCAATTGAAAGGCACCTACGAATGCAACATTCCGAAATATGTGAATGATCCCATTCATCAGCCGTCAAAGTATGCCAATATGACAGGATTAGATACTGAGACAATGTCAATAGTAAGTACTGTTGTCATCCATCATGTGACTGGTTAGCAGAACACTCCTCAAATGCACTGTACCCAAAATGTGCCCCGGGGAAAACCGTCGCGATATCTACAGATGAGTTTACTAAACCTGAGGAATGCTGTGTTGCCGTCACCGACATGCCTTCTCAATCTGTGGTTCCATCTGTGTCAATGATTGTCAGTACACCGACAACTGTTAGCACACCTGATGTAACACCCTTACTTGAGCCTGAAATGGTACCCGGCGCGACACCACACCGTACGCCAGCGATTGTTTCAACACCAATACAGGAGCCGCACATGGTTGCTGGGGCCACACCACAGCGTACGCCAACGATTGCAAATACACCGACAAGTGTTAACGCACCTGATGTAACACCCCTGCTTGAGCCTGAAATGGTCCCCGGGGCGGCACCACACCGTACGCCAGCGATTGTTTCAACACCATTACAGGAGTCGCACATGGTTCCTGTGGCCACACCACAGCGTACGCCAACGGTCGCTAGCACACCCAAGCGCACGTCTCGTACATATGAAGCAACACAAACACACGTGGACCAAAGCACGACTGAAGAACCGGTTGATTTTACGTCGACGGACGAGGCCACATACACGCACTGCCCCACTGCTCACTCAGACAACCCAACGGGCTTGTATTGTGGCGACATCAAGTTCGAGAGCTGTATTTGAAATGCTGCAAGAGATTTGAAATGCTGCAAGCACACTGACCACTGCTGAGGGTGGGGCAACTGCAAATGCAAATCCACACACTGCTGCTCAGGAGAGATCACCAAATCATCAACTTCCGACGAGGAGGAGACTTCTTCCGACGAGGAGGAGACTTCTTCCGACGAGGAGGAGACTTCTTCCGACTGCTCCAACTACATGTATTGTGGCGACGTTAAGACCAACAATTGCGGTGGTAAATACAAGTCGCACACCAAGTGCTGCAAGAGCAGTCGTAAGTGTGCCGGGTGGGCCACAGAGAATTGCTCCAGTAGCTTCTATTGTGCTGGCGACGTGAACGGAAGTAGTGACTGCTACAGCAACAAACGTCGATGCGCTCACCGTCGTCAAGTTCGTCAACTGAGGATGTGATTCTGAAGGAGTTTACAGGCAACCTCAAGATTCATACATGCACACATGTGTGGGCGGCAGTGAGATACTACCGATCACAGGCAACGAATCATGGCTGTATCGACACGGTGATATGTGGGTGTGAGTGGGATCTCGAAGAAGACCGCATGCAACCGCTAATATCGCCTACGCTTTAGTTTAGTTCCTTTCCACGACGTACAATAGTTGTATATTTTCAGTAAAAAATTGGATCAGCTATCTTATTCTTTAGTTCGTACCCCATGTCAATGTGCTCAATTGCATTATATGCGATCGCATCTCTATACCTCCCACTCTGACTAAAACAAAAGCCTCCCTACACTTTTTAATATGTATCTAGAGAAATTTCACTATTCGGCCGATTTTGATTGTGATGTGTTTATTTGCCCTGCGTACTGTGTAAATACCTCCGCACGTTCATTAACGTTCACATTCTCTATTTGCCACGCATCTTTGAGCGCATAGCTTTTATCATTCCCTGGCATTCGTCGCCAAACACCGACTTCACCATCGGATCCGCACTCTCGCTGGTATCAGCCAGCTCAGCGATTGGCATGCGATAGCCTTGCTTACACAGAGCCCTCGCCTGCGGGGGAGTGGCGTGTTTCAGAATAAATGAAGAACAAAGGCAGCAGGTTAATTGGTTACTTCGAGATCACAGCTTCATATGGATGTCAACGTGCGAGCATATGAGTACACAGGGACTCATTGCGATGAATCAACGACCGTATGCCGTGTAACTGGAATATACGACATGGTTACGCATGATTATACGACATGGTTACACGTGGTGATACGGCATGATTAAACATGATTATACGACATGGTTACACATGGTGGTACGGCATGGTTACACATGATTATACGACATGGTTACACATGGTGGTACGACATACCTCCGGGGGGATGGCGAGTAGTGTGGCCATGCCTCGGTCAAGAGCAAGCTGCAAGAGCTCATCAGAGTCCTTGGCGAGGGCGTCCACAAACCTAAGGGTTACATACAGCTTATCAGACAAGACAAAGATTGGTATGTGCTGAGTGTTTGGTGAACACACACACACTACTACACACACACACACACACACTTACACACACACACACTTACACACACTTACACACACACACACACATAAATGTATGTATATATAAATACACACACACACATATATATATATATATTTAACAATATATAACAATATATATATATATGCACACACACATATATATATATATATATTTACATATATCCATATCCATATATCTGCACAAAATATATTGTACATATACCCAATTTGCAGGGCTTCTTCTGGCGTTGACATGATGCTGTTGCCCAGATGCCACTCGGCATTGCGCGTTCCTATCACACTGGCTGTCAAACCTCGAAGCCACGCCGGCTGTGTACATGTGTCGCATGTGTGTATTGCGTGTTGATTTGTGATGGGGTGGGTGCTAGGTTTAGGGTTTATATCCAAACAGGGGTATATCGAGATATAAATTGAAACTGCGATCTATGTGGCAACACCCTGACTCGCCTGACACGGCTTTTGTGATGCGAGTATGAGTCGTGTTTACACTCACTACACTGGAGTGCCCTGACAGGGCTGCCGTGCCCATACTACATGTGAATACGAAGTAACAACATGTAGTAAATAAGATGCAGAAACATGTCATACTTATTAAGAAAAGACGTGACATACTAAAGAGAGTCATACTAAATAAGAAATAAAACCACGTGCAAATAGACACACACACTCATCTGTCTGTCTGCGCTAATACAACCAGGTGCCTCAAATACAATCACACACCAACTAACACCACCTCCACGCCATAGCAACCACCATCAAAGACGTCCATAACACACTCCTATGTGCAAATACACACACACTCATCCGTCTGTACTCTTAAGCCCAAAAAACCTAACTCCCAACCCAACCCTTAAACCCAAAACCAACTCTTAAACCCTTAAAACCCAACCCGACCCTTAAACACTAAAACCCAAACCAACTCTTAAACCCTTAAACATCCACCCCAACCCGCAAACCCTAAAAACTCCTTGCCTTCCGCAACACCTCGGATGAAACTTACCGGGTTCATTCCCAAACTGCTCTCATTCAGTCCAAACTTGGCCTTGGTTGGGACAACGCTATTACCTACCATCACACGATAGTCTGCACTCAGAGCCATCACCTGCGGAGAGAGTGGGGGGTATAAGCACCATGTCATGCAACACGAGCACTGCATGTGCACACACACAAGCTTACCCCCATGTCATGCAACAAAAGGCCATGAGGTGCATGTGCGATGTATCTACACTATATACACAATCTCACCAGTACACCAGTTAAGTAAACCCGCTCGGTGCAATGCACAGTCACACATGCAGCGTACAAAACACCACTATCACAGGATTGACCAGCCTATGCACGTCTTAGAATAGTGCAGACTACAGTCTAGTCTAGTCTCCCCTCTGTGAGATGGATGGTCATAGATTTGGGTGGCATGGGAAACGCTTATACGGTCTATGTATGTTATGAGATGGCTTGAAAGGCTCGATGCTGCACTAGATGGGGTTATAGTATGCACTCTATACGGGAGTGTTGTATTCCGTATACCAGACCACGTACTCGTAGACACATACTGTGGTCAGTTGACATGAACTTACACCACAAACGAAACTAACAACACAACCAAGCACTTGGAGAATGCACATACGGCGCCGAGGGCTGGACAGGTGCCGTTGACGGCAGCCACAGTCGCTAATGGAGTGGTGTACCTGTTCACACGTGAAAAGTCACTAATTTTTCATCGGTAGTGA